AAGTATAGTAGTTATTGTTAGCATGACACCACTGCTAACAAACCAGACTTTGGCAGGATAGTTAAGATGTGTTAAGAAAATGAGGGATGAGTGTGGACCACGGGTGAACGTTTATTGTGTTTTTAGGGCATAAACATTGAGTACAATGCTTTTAAGTGTTCCATTTTGTCTGAATGCACTATACCTCTTGTGTTAGCTGATCTCAGCGTGATGTCTGAGATATGAACAAAACAGCTCTCACTGCTCTACATGGTGAAACGCAGTGGCTCAGGGGTAGAGCAGGTCATTACAGATGTGTGGGTCTGCCTTTGTTTTTTTGTCTGTTTCCGTGGGCAAAACATTTTTGTAAAGTTTCCTTGAGTGTTTGTGTCAGCATAGTTTTGTGGGATTGGGCTTGTGTGCAAGTAAATTATAGGGGAGCATATTGTCTATGAAGTTGTTTGTCATTTTTCACATTCTGTTGTGTCTTAATGTAGATCTGTTATTTATAAAAGTGATCTTATGAATATAGTGATCTAATTAATCCTTTCATATGATTTGACAAATAAAAATACATTTAAATAATTCATTATGGCTCTTTTTAATCTATACGTTTTATACTATTCCAGACCTGCTTGTTGTGCCTATACTATATAGTAGTAGTGGTTTAAAAAAAGATGAGTCCAGACCAGAGAGTGTGAAAGTGAGAACAGGGGTTATTTAATGATCAGTACGGTGTAATTACCTCCCGGCGAGATCCAGCCTTTTAGACACATGATTATTCAAGGATAGAAAATCTCATTTGCATCTTGTACAGTAATATGTAAAAGTGTTCACTCTGCTCCAAATTAAATTGCTACATTGATTTTTTCCCCCCTACTTACTTCTGTACATTTTGCCCTTTTCAGCAGAATTACGCTTTTACATGTAGGTGAAATTGTCTACACTCGTAAAAGGCGAGTAAGGGTGTTCGTGTAAGATCATGTACGAAATCTGTCTCGTGGGTCTGTAGTATGCACATTATTAGCGGAAAAGACATTTATGTTACCAGATTATCACTGAACTTCATCCTATCCAAACATTTACTGCTCATCCGTCCACTTTTCTTATGCTTTTTATGTTGAACATTGTCCACGCACAATACTACATGGCAACCCCACTTCTGTAATCGCAATGGGAGCTATCAGTATCTTCAAAGTCTGCAAATCAAGGGCCCTGCTTTCATTTGCAGCACCTCCAATTTCAGAGGCAGTGAGAAAGCATGGAGTGACTGTAATGGCAGCAATCTGAGCCGCGTGTGGAGTAAAGCAGAGGTAGGGGTAGCGGTGGTAGCAGCTCTGACAATTGATAAGGGGTGGGCCTGTCATGTAAATATGTGTTTTGCTTGACTTCTTATCAAAGCGAAAAGATACAAATGGAAAAGATTCTGTTACAATTTTTTGGATCATTTTTGTCTGGCTTTTGTGTGTTTACATGGCCAGTACAAACACACATCTGTGCAGGGTTGTGGAAAATATTATTCACTGTAGTATGTTACTTGGTGTTATGTGTTATTTCCAAAGTCCACAGTTAATGTTTTTACTATTCATTTTTGTGTCAAGACATGCTGTAAAGTAAAACCAGTAAGACTAGTTGTCATCTGTTCATAGTTACAATTTTGAGTATTTTAACTTTTAATTAAAGCCGCGCGCGGCGATGGTGGCCCTCGCCCCGGAGCGGCGAGGGCCAATAATAATAAACAAACAAACGTAAGAAACCGACGAAAAACAATACCCCTCGCCCCTAACTTTGTTAGTGGCGAGGGCCAGTCATGGAAAATCTTTGTTAAACCACTTCTTGTGCAAAGTTCATATGAAACACAAACATTTTAATCCTCAAAACAGCGAAAATGTCAAACGAGTTTCCTTCCACTAAACAAACAACGAAACTGTAGCTGTAACAAAATCATTTAGTAAAATAAACCAAAAATACTCTTGGTGATATATCGATAGAGCAGCCCACAATATCGATACTGTGTCATCACATTAAACGATACGATATATCGATATTTCAATATTTTTGCACACCCCTCTACTCTTTATCACACGAAGACCACAGTTCTTTAGTTTAAGGTCATGGTTTAAGGTCAAGGGTATATTTCCTCTGTTATTTCTGGCCATTTTTGTTTTATAATTGAGTTGTTTTGTAAGTGTTGCTGTACTTACTGTTACGCAGATAAAAAGTGCGACCTACTCTGTGAAATCTACTCTGTAAAGTCTCCTCTGTGAAGTCTACTGTTTGAAATCTTTGTACGATTTGCTCTGTGTCAAGCTCAGCTAAATGTGCCTTTTCCGTTAAGCGATATGTGATTTTCGATTTGTGATTTGCGATTTGCCTACTGTTATAATCTCCCCGAGGCCAAACAAAGCTTTGAAGTTTAGCTTTGAGTTCCGGAGTTGCCATGGTAACAAGGCTTTATGGAACTTTACATGTATGATGTCATCGGCGCCGTGAACCTGTTTCAGAGGAGTCATTGCGCCCCTACTGGCCAAACGTGGAAAATGCAGCATGTTCGTAATAGACTTTTTTGCTTGTAATCATGAGAATTTTATTCCCGAATTTGGTACAAATCCAATAATGTAGATGTTTCATGTCTATGCTAGGGGGCGCTATAGAGTTCACTTTTATTAAATTTCATATTTCATTACATTCAGGCCTGGATCACACAGTTGTGATTTGAATTTGAGTTCTCTAGGACAATGCCTGTGGCCGTGACAGGTCACCGAAAAAACAGGAAATGAAGGCGTTTTTCGCCGGCGTGCTACGGGCGAACTGTGAGGAGTATCCCAAAAAAATTTGGCAACTTCTGTGAGTTTATGTCTGTAGATGTGACATGTCAAATTTGAGCTCATTTGGACCAAACCCCGGGGACTTGAATCTTTTTGTAGACCCCCAAGTCAAAACCGTGGCGAATGTTTGATCCAATATGGCCGACTTCCTGTTCGTCATAGGGGTGCACAATGATTGACTTTTTTGCTCGTAATCATGGATAGAATTTAATTCCCGAATTTGGTCCAAATCCGATAATGTTGACGTTTCATGTCTATGCTAGGGGGCGCTATAGAGTTCACTTTTCATATGTTTTATAGTGTATTATATTCAGGCTGAGATCACACATCATTGATTCAAATTTCAACGCGATCCGATTAAACATGGGCATATAATGATTTTTTTACTATTTCTGGGGGGAGTCTTTGCGCCCCTGGTGGCCAAGTGTGAAAAATACCTCATGTCCGTAATGGACTTTTTTGCTTGTAAACATGCATAGAATTTTATTCCCGAATTTGGTACAAATCCGATAATGTTGACGTTTCACGTCTATGCTAGGGGCGCTATAGAGTTCACTTTTATTAGATTTCATATTTCATTACATTCAGGCCTGGATCACGCAATTGTGATTTGAATTTGAGCTCTCTAGGACAATGCCTGTGGCCGTGACAGGTCACCGAAAAAACAGGAAATGAAGGCGTTATTCGCCGGCGTGCTACGGGCGAACTGTAAGGAGTATCCCAAAAACATGGAAGATTTCAGTGAAGCTATGTCTGTAGATGTGACATGTCAGATCTGAGCTCATTTGGACCAAACACCACGGACTAGTAGCATTGTGCACACACGCAAGTCGAAACGGCGCCGAATGTTTGATCCAATATGGCCGACTTCCTGTTCATTCATAGGGTCATGCTCCAATTCATCTTTTGGCTTGTCTCATTGTTCTCTATCACTGTTCCGAATTTCGTTTCCCTGCGACAAACTTTGCATGTCCCTACTCCCATAGGGGTCCAATTCTAGGTGGCGCTGTTGAGTCGGGTCACTTTGGTCATTGTCACAATGTCCATTTTATCAAATTTTTCGCCGGGCCGATCGATCTGGACCCCGGTTTGGGGACTTTTCGTCGATGTTCAGGGGGTCAAAAATGCGATCGTTTGGTCGGAAAAGGGAATAATAAAAAAAAGAAACCGAGCGAAAACAATACCCCTCGCCGAGGGCCAATTATTACAGGGACATGTTTAGTCCGATCATGCTGAAATTTGAATCACTAATGCGAGTTTTTGGCCTGAATATAATACACTATAAAACATATGAAACGTGAACACTATAGCGCCCCCTAGCATAGATAAACAACAACATTATCGGATTACTACCAAATTCGGGGATTACATTCTATGCATGATTACAAGCAAAAAAGTCTATTACGGACATGATGCATTTCCCACCACTGGCCAGCAGGGGCGCAAAGAATCCCCCATAAAATAGTTTAAAAATGTTTACACACTTTAAGTTAACAAAGTTAACTTAGTTTAACTTAGTTAAGTTTAGGCTTGGGTTTAGTCCTGGTTTAGTCCTGGTTTAGACCTGGTTTAGACCTGGTTTAGTCCTGGTTTAAGAACAGAGTCAGCATCAGCAGAAGATCCCTCTGTCACAGAAAGAACACAGATAATCCACTGAGTTGTGTCCTTTAGTCCGACAGAAGCTGAACCACATCAGCGCACAAAAGCGAGCAGTTTTTTGAGCGCTCAGTTAATGCAGATTAGACACGTGGTTTTACGTTTTGTTTCTGTAAAACGTAAACAAATATGCTCAAAGCTGTGTGAATAGGGAAGGCTTGCGGACACAGATATGACGTGTCTGGACGCAGATTGTTTCTGATACGGTGATACGTGGATTCGTTTCAGTGTAAACGGGGTCTAAAATTCCCAAATCTCAGAATTGATACTTTGCAGCTACATATGAAGAAATGTTTCTGTAGTTTCCAGAGTTTAATTCCATAGTTTGAAGGTCCATTTTCTTCCTTTGGCTCTGGGTTCACTGCTATCGTCTTGGTTACCAAGTTCTGTGGTAACCAAGACGATAACCAAGACGATAACCAAGACTTTGATTTTTTAAATCTGCCATGTCATGTTCAAAGCTTTGTGACTCACAAAGCATTTTTGTATAAGAGTGAAACAGGAGGACTTTCTGTTCATTTGCAGATCGCAGCTCTCGTGGACACACGCAAACAGAGAAGGAGAAGATTTCAACTCCAAGCACTGGTAGGTGAAGACTAGCAGACACAGCCTAAACCTACTGTTTAAAATGGGAAGAGATCTAGTTTAGCCAAACCAAATTTGGTAGCCAGATGCATCATGGCAATAAGAACAAAAATGTATATTGTGACCACGCCCCTTTACAAACCGGAAGTCCGACATCTTGGATTTTTTTTTTTTTTTTCCAAATTTAAAAAAATTGCAGAAAATTAAATTAAGATTTTTAGGGCTAGGGTTGGGGCTATGGTTAGGATTACGATTAGGGTAAGGTTTAAGTTTAGGCTTATTAGGGTCAGTGTGAGGCGCGGTGATTGAGGGGCGCGGCGTTTGCGGGGCGCGGCGTAAGCGCGCGCGAGGTGCCGATCATCGCCGCTTGCGGCTGTATTTATTATTTTTCTTTGCAAACGATCTCGATTTTGAGGGCCTGAACGTCGACGAAAAGTCCCCAAACCAGGGTCCAGATCGACCGGTCTGGCGAAAAATTTCATAAAATGGGCATCGCGACAATGTCCAAAGCCCCCCCACTCAACAGCGCCCCCTTGAAATTTCAAAATTTTGAAATGAATTGGAGGCTCAGACACAAATTTTGGCGTATGATCACGAAATTCGGAACAGTGATAGAACTCAAGGAGACAAGCCAAAAAGCCAATCATTGTGCACCCCTATGACGAACAGGAAGTCAGCCATATTGGATCAAAAATTCGGCGCCATTTTGACTTGGGTGTCTACAAAAAGATTCAAGTCCCCAGGGTTTTCTCCAAATGAGCTCAAATTTGACATGTCACATCTACAGACATAAACTCACAAAAATCATAAATTTTTATTTTGATAATCCTTACGGTTCGCCCGTAGCACGCCGGCGAAGAACGCCTTCATTTCCTGTTTTTTCGGTGACCTGTCACGGCCACAGGCATTGTCCTAGAGAACTCAAATTCAAATCACAATTGTGTGATCCAGGCCTGAATGTAATGAAATATGAAATTTAATAAAAGTGAACTCTATAGCGCCCCCTACCATAGACGTGAAACGTCAACATTATCAGATTTGTACCAAATTTGGGAATTAAATTCTATGCATGATTACAAGCAAAAAAGTCTATTACGGACATGATGCATTTCCCACCACTGGCCAGCAGGGGCGCAAAGAATCCCCCCAAAAATAGTTAAAAAATGTTTACACACTTTAAGTTAACAAAGTTAACTTAGTTTAACTTAGTTAAGTTTAGGCTTGGGTTTAGTCCTGGTTTAGTCCTGGTTTAGTCCTGGTTTAGACCTGGTTTAGTCCTGGTTTAAGAACAGAGTCAGCATCAGCAGAAGATCCCTCTGTCACAGAAAGAACACAGATAATCCACTGAGTTGTGTCCTTTAGTCCGACAGAAGCTGAACCACATCAGCGCACAAAAGCGAGCAGTTTTTTGAGCGCTCAGTTAATGCAGATTAGACACGTGGTTTTACGTTTTGTTTCTGTAAAACGTAAACAAATATGCTCAAAGCTGTGTGAATAGGGAAGGCTTGCGGACACAGATATGACGTGTCTGGACGCAGATTGTTTCTGATACGGTGATACGTGGATTCGTTTCAGTGTAAACGGGGTCTAAAATTCCCAAATCTCAGAATTGATACTTTGCAGCTACATATGAAGAAATGTTTCTGTAGTTTCCAGAGTTTAATTCCATAGTTTGAAGGTCCATTTTCTTCCTTTGGCTCTGGGTTCACTGCTATCGTCTTGGTTACCAAGTTCCGTGGTAACCAAGACGATAACCAAGACGATAACCAAGACTTTGATTTTTTAAATCTGCCATGTCATGTTCAAAGCTTTGTGACTCACAAAGCATTTTTGTATAAGAGTGAAACAGGAGGACTTTCTGTTCATTTGCAGATCGCAGCTCTCGTGGACACACGCAAACAGAGAAGGAGAAGATTTCAACTCCAAGCACTGGTAGGTGAAGACTAGCAGACACAGCCTAAACCTACTGTTTAAAATGGGAAGAGATCTAGTTTAGCCAAACCAAATTTTGGTAGCCAGATGCATCATGGCAATAAGAACAAAAATGTATATTGTGACCACGCCCCTTTACAAACCGGAAGTCCGACATCTTGGATTTTATTTTTTTTTTCCAAATTTAAAAAATTGCAGAAAATTAAATTAAGATTTTTAGGGCTAGGGTTGGGGCTATGGTTAGGATTACGATTAGGGTAAGGTTTAAGTTTAGGCTTATTAGGGTCAGTGTGAGGCGCGGTGATTGAGGGGCGCGGTGATTGCGGGGCGCGGCGTAAGCGCGCGCGAGGTGCCGATCATCGCTGCTTGCGGCTGTATTTATTATTTTTCTTTGCAAACGATCTCGATTTTGAGGGCCTGAACGTCGACGAAAAGTCCCCAAACCAGGGTCCAGATCGACCGGTCTGGCAAAAAATTTCATAAAATGGGCATCGCGACAATGTCCAAAGCCCCCCCACTCAACAGCGCCCCCTTGAAATTTCATAATTTTGAAATGAATTGGAGGCTCAGACACAAATTTTGGTGTATGATCACGAAATTCGGAACAGTGATAGAACTCAAGGAGACAAGCCAAAAAGCCAATCATTGTGCACCCCTATGACGAACAGGAAGTCGGCCATATTGGATCAAAAATTCGGCGCCATTTTGACTTGGGTGTCTACAAAAAGATTCAAGTCCCCAGGGTTTTCTCCAAATGAGCTCAAATTTGACATTTCACATCTACAGACATAAACTCACAAAAATCATAAATTTTTATTTTGATAATCCTTACAGTTCGCCCGTAGCACGCCGGCGAAGAACGCCTTCATTTCCTGTTTTTTCGGTGACCTGTCACGGCCACAGGCATTGTCCTAGAGAACTCAAATTCAAATCACAATTGTGTGATCCAGGCCTGAATGTAATGAAATATGAAATTTAATAAAAGTGAACTCTATAGCGCCCCCTACCATAGACGTGAAACGTCAACATTATCAGATTTGTACCAAATTTGGGAATTAAATTCTATGCATGATTACAAGCAAAAAAGTCTATTATGGACATGATGCATTTTCCACCATTGGCCAGCAGGGGCGCAAAGACTCCCCCCAAAAATAGTTTAAAAATTATTACAGGGACACGTTTAGTCCGATCGTGCTGAAATTTGAATCAGTAATGCCTGATCCCAGCCTGAATATAATACACTATAAAACATATGAAAAGTGAACTCTATAGCGCCCCCTAGAATAGACATGAAACGTCAATATTATCGGATTAGCACCAAATTCGGAAATAAAATTCTAAGCATGATAACAAGCAAAAAAGTTTATTACGGACATGGGATATTTTTCACGGTTGGCCAGCAGGGGCGCAACGACTCCCTCAACAAATAGTTAAAAAATGATTACGCACACAGGGTTAGTCCGATTGTGCTGAAACCGGGTATCAGATCAATCGGTCCGGTGAAAAATTTCATAAAATGGGCATCGCGACAATGCCCAAAGCCCCCCACTCAACAGCGCCCCCTTGAAAATGCACATTTTAAAATGAATGGGAGTCTGAGAGGCAAATTTTGTCATACGGTCACGAAATTTGGAACAGTGATAGAACTCAAGGAGACAAACAAAAAAGCCAATCATTGTGCACCCCTATGACAAACAGGAAGTCGGCCATATTGGATCAAAAATTCGGCGCCGTTTTGACTTGGGTGTCTATGAAAAGATTCAAGTCCCCAGGGTTTTGTCCAAATGAGCTCAAATTTGACATGTCACATCTACAGACATAAACTCACAGAAGTTGCCCATTTTTTTTGAGATACTCCGCCCGTAGCACGCCGGCGAAGAACGCCTTCATTTCCTGTTTTTTCGGTGACCTGTCATGGCCACAGGCATTGTCCTAGAGAACTCAAATTCAAATCACAATTGTGTGATCCAGGCCTGAATGTAATGAAATATGAAATTTAATAAAAGTGAACTCTATAGTGCCCCCTAGCTTAGACATGAAACGTCAACATTATCAGATTAGTACCAAATTCGGGAATTAAATTCTACGCATGATTACAAGCAAAAAAGTTTATTACGAACATGATGCATTTTTCATCACTGGCCAGCAGGGGCGCAAAGACTCCACCAAAAATAGTTTAAAAATTATTACAGGGACAGACTTAGTCTGATCGTGCTGAAATTTGAATCAGTAATGCCTGATCCCAGCCTGAATATAATACACTATAAAGTATATGAAAAGTGAACTCCATAGCGCCCCCTAGAATAGACATGACATGTCAACATTATCAGATTTCTACCAAATTCAGGGAATAAGTTCTATGCATGATTATGAGCAAAAATATATATAACGGACATGGTGCATTTTCCACTGTTGGCCAGCACGGGCGCAATGACTCCTAAAAATATTGAAAGGTGCATTATGTAATGTGTCTAATGGACGAGCTGTCGACCTGGGCGGATGTCGGGAAGAGAGGGTGAGGTGCCGGGGCGGTCGCGAGTCCCTGGAGGTCGCGTGGGGAGGCGGTGCGCGCCGGGGCGAGGGCCACCATCGCCGCGCGCGGCTTTAATTGACATTGTTTTTTTTCAGTGAACATGTCTGGAGCTGTTCTAGTAGGAGATCAGCTCATCCTTGAGGAGGAATATGACGATGACTATCCTCCCTCTGAACAAGGTATGCATGATATATTCAGCCAGCGTGTGGTGATAGTTACATTAATAAACGTTTTAAAATTTGTTTTTTCTCATAAACTTTTTTTTTTTACCCCAGAGGTTAGAGATTATGCTAAAGAGATTGGCATTGACCCAGACACTGAGCCAGAGCTTATGTGGTTGGCCCGCGAGGGAGTTATTGCCCCTTTGCCCAGTGGCTGGAAACCATGGTGAGAAGTAAAAACCAAGCCGTGTCTGTTTGTTTTGTCCTAATCAACACTTAACATGTGGTTTTGACATATGACACTTGAGGGGGGGTTTCCTTAACAACAGCCCCAGGACCATTTTAGCTGTAGTGATGTTAAAGCTGTGTTGACAAAACAGTTTCTTATTATACAATCATAAAGTTGATATTACAATGCAGTTACAGATTTTATTCATTCCTTACAGCTGTGGATAGAGTAAGTAGCACAATAGATTTTTTTTATCGTGCTTTATTAATTGGGTTGTTGGTTGTGTGAAGTTGATGCCTGTGTATTGATCAAGGGTAGGCAAAATACATGTAGTGGCTTGAAAATGTATTCAGGGTGTTATATATATCCGTATCAACATTTGTTTGCTTATTTTTACAGCCAAAATGTAACTGGGGACATTTACTATTTCAACTTCTCCACGGGACAGTCGTCATGGGAACATCCAGGTGACGAAAACTACCGCAATCTTGTGATCCAGGAACGAGAGAGATGTAAACAGGCAGCGAGTTCAGGAGGAGCCAAAAAGGACAAAAAAGAAAAGAAAGTGAAGGAGAAAAAGAAAGTGAAGGAGAAGAAAAAGAAGGAGGACTCTTTGGGCTCTGCTTTGAGACCCCTCACGTCTCCACTTGGGGGGCTGGCTCCTCTCCGGGGTCTAGACGCCCCGGGACTTGGACCGCTGGGGTCTGTCCCGCCTCTGAGACGGCCTCTGGGGAGTGCAGGGGGGCTAGAGCCACTCAAGACTTCCCTCGGGGTAATGTTTACAACATAGCATACATTTCTACATTTGTAAAACATTACTTTCATTGTTGTAATCAATCATTTTGGCAGATTTATTTTCCTTATTTTATCAGAAAGAAGTTGTGAGGAGTAATAGTAGGACTATATAGGTGTAGTAATAGTGATTAAGTGTCTGCTGTTTCCAGGATCCCAGAAGCAGTGGTGTGTCCAGTGTTTTGGGCATGAGACATGAAGAGAGAGTGTCTTTAAATTCACTTGGTTTGGATGATGAAGAGGACGATGATGAAAATAAGGTACGTTAACATTTGCCTTTAACAAGATTCTGTTTAAAATGTGTATTAGGTTTGATCAGCCTGAACATTTTACAACAGAGTCGAAATGATTCAGACCGTCCACTGAAAAACCCTCCATTTGAATATAGATGATCTTGGAAGTGGCCTACAGTATGAGGTACTAATTATTTTTTATGATTTTTATGATGTTTCTTTTTTTAATTAATAATCTAAACATATTTTTATGTTTTAAGGACAGTGAAGGCAGTGCAGAAGCTCCAGAGCCAGAGTTACAAAATCTTGCCCTTTCTAGAGACCTTAGCCCAGAGCCACCTTCACATCAAGTAAGACACAATTATGATTATAATTATTACTATTATTATTATTATTATTATTATTATTATAGATTATGAGGGCTAACAGGAATTTATTATCAATCAACTGTTCTAGTGCTGATAAATGTCACGCCTCAATTGNACTTCTCCACGGGACAGTCGTCATGGGAACATCCAGGTGACGAAAACTACCGCAATCTTGTGATCCAGGAACGAGAGAGATGTAAACAGGCAGCGAGTTCAGGAGGAGCCAAAAAGGACAAAAAGAAAAAGAAAGTGAAGGAGAAAAAGAAAGTGAAGAAGAAAAAGAAGGAGGACTCTTTGGGCTCTGCTTTGAGACCCCTCACGTCTCCACTTGGGGGGCTGGCTCCTCTCCGGGGTCTAGACGCCCCGGGACTTGGACCGCTGGGGTCTGTCCCGCCTCTGAGACGGCCTCTGGGGAGTGCAGCGGGGCTAGAGCCACTCAAGACTTCCCTCGGGGTAATGTTTACAACACAGCATACATTTCTACATTTGTAAAACATTACTTTCATTGTTGTAATACATCATTTTTGGCAGATTTATTTTCCTTATTTTATCAGAAAGAAGTTGTGAGGAGTAATAGTAGGACTATATAGGTGTAGTAATAGTGATTAAGTGTCTGCTGTTTCCAGGATCCCAGAAGCAGTGGTGTGTCCAGTGTTTTGGGCATGAGACATGAAGAGAGAGTGTCTTTAAATTCACTTGGTTTGGATGATGAAGAGGACGATGATGAAAATAAGGTACGTTAACATTTGCCTTTAACAAGATTCTGTTTAAAATGTGTATTAGGTTTGATCAGCCTGAACATTTTACAACAGAGTCGAAATGATTCAGACCGTCCACTGAAAACCCTCCATTTGAATATAGATGATCTTGGAAGTGGCCTACAGTATGAGGTACTAATTATTTTTTATGATTTTTATGATGTTTCTTTTTTTAATTAATAATCTAAACATATTTTTATGTTTTAAGGACAGTGAAGGCAGTGCAGAAGCTCCAGAGCCAGAGTTACAAAATCTTGCCCTTTGTAGAGACCTTAGCCCAGAGCCACTGTCACATCAAGTAAGACACAATTATGATTATAATTATTACTATTATTATTATTATTATTATTATAGATTATGAGGGCTAACAGGAATTTATTATCAATCAACTGTTCTAGTGCTGATAAATGTCACGCCTCAATTGCAGATTCAGAGCAAGAAAAACCTCTACAGAATCTCATAAACTCAGATTAAACAGCTTTCATATTGATTTTACCCTTCATAGATTTTTTATGTGCATGAGGAGGAAGTAGACATAATTGAAACATTCTTTTATTACTAGAGTAGTACGATCTTAATCTTAATTGTCAATATATGTGTGTCGTCTTTTGTCTGTTAATCATCTCCTGTTAATGATTCTGTCATGATTCTTCTTGTGGTTAACGTTATTTGCAAAATGCCCTTTAGGAGTGGACTTTTGCAATTTAAGACTAGGAACAAATAATACTTGTGTCCAAAATGTGCAAAAGCCATGAGGAGTACCTTATTATTTCTTTTTGTAAGATCATAAGGAATTCTTTAGACTGACTAGCTTCGTTAGTTTAATTGCTTTGCCGTCTCATTTTTTACATGCCACTTCTCTTGCCTGAGATGTGTTGCATGTAGATGCTTTGATTTTGTGCAGTTGTGTGTTTGTAGTAACTTCATCATCATAATTATTATTATTATTATATTTTTTTTTAATTAAATGACCATCTACCCTTGCAGGATGACAGTATAAACAGTGATGCTTCCTCCTTCACACATAACAAGGTTAATTGAAATTAGCATTATATATTTCTTGTATTTTACAATGTTCAAATATTTATTCATGAAAATATATTTTCTTGTTGAAGAATCTGGGAGATATAAAAGACCTCTTGAGCTCAATTAGTCCATCATTAGAGAAAAAGGCTGCTGAAACCAGGTAAGCCTAATATTTTATATTATATTATAATACTCTTTATTTATTAATTTTTTTTGCATTTCATAGTAAATTTTGGGTATTTTGTTAGGCCAAAGCTGAAGGAGGCACCTGCTCCCAGAGTGGATCGTCTGAAGCTGCATCAATCGAGTCCTTCTCCTACATTTTCCGACTCCTCTCATTCAGACACAAAAGACCACCTCCTCCCCAAAAACACTGATCTTGGGGTCTTCCATTGGGTTTAAGAGACCTGAAACTTCAAGGGGCCGCCCAGGACCAAGTCAAGATACAAAGCTGTCCATTCAAAGCCGAGAGAAGAAAGATGAGCCTATTGAGAGACATGAACACACGTCAGATCGTGAGGAACAGGAGGAGAGAGAGAAACTGATGAAGGAAAAACAAAAGAGGATTCAAAAACTTCAAGACGAACTGAAGAGACAAGAAGAAGAGGAGGAGAGGAGGCTAAAGGCTGAGAGTGAGGAGAGACTGAGGTATGCAGTTTGTACTTTGTTGTTATACATTGTGTATATTGCACCAGTGTGAAAGCTATGAAAACCATAAAGGAATTCTGTCTTGAAATTATTTGTTTTAATTATACAAGAGGCCCATCCAATAACTATTCAATGAGGAGCTTTATGTAAATTTAAGTTAAACAAAATATTTAGTCATGATATAGACTGGGTTTAGTCCTGTTTAGTTCTGGGTTTAATCACGTCACGTCTAAATTATGATGTGATACAGTATGTTCACACTTGCCCACACACCACCAGTCAAAATAAACCATTTTGAAAGTGAAACCATATGTACATTTTTTTTGGTCCCAGGATGCTACGCGAGTCACTGGTAACAAAAAGAAAAGAGGAAGAAGCCAAACTTAAAGACGAGTCTGAAAAAGTTCTGGAGGAGCTCAGAGCATCTGTACGAGCCCACTGTGAGGAGCAGGAACAAAACATCAGGTTTGAGCCGAAAATCTATTTGCAAAAATGTAATAGCAGAATTTGATTTGATAATTTGATTTTATAACTAATCCCGATTATAGTTGTCACAATTGATAATATAACTGTGAGATGCATCAAAGTTTATTTAAAGCTATTCAGTAAAGTATAAAAAGAATTTCATCACAACATTCTATAACACAATATCATGCAATAGAGGTGGGGGCAGGTAAAACACATTTAGTTAAAATGCTGATATATCTGGTAATACAGCATGTTCAGGTTCAACATTTGTGAATTCATCTTTTGGATATTTGAATGAAATTATCATAACAATAAAAATAGGGAAAAATGTCTCTTGTCCACCATGAGTATGACATAATAATATTCTATAATCTGAAAAGACAAAGTAAAGGGGAGATTATAAGACCTGTATAATAACATAATAATAGTGCTATGTCATAATTGTGGTTTGAATGAAAGGGCACTAAAATTTGGTGTACATTGTGTCATCCTATTCAGGCAGGAGAGAAAAGCCATCCTCACAAACCTCCAGACTGAATTAGAAGAGGAACAAGAGGCAGAGAGAAAGAAGCTTGAAGTCAAAAAGAAGCAGGACCTGGAGCGACTGAAGGTTGAGACTGAAGAGGAGATAGAGGAGGAGAAAGAGAGACTTCAGAGCAACAAAGAGAAGAGACTCAGCGCCCTCAGACAAGAGGCAAGGACACTGGCATGGACATATTAGGCACATTTAGATTGTGCCTAATCATGTACAAATATTTTCAGTGTTTATCTACACCAAAACCATGTTTTGTATCTAACTTTTCTGGGTCTGCCACCTGCTTTTTGTCATGTTTTTGTGTAAAGGTCAAAAGCACTGGAGAAAAGACAGATGTTGCAAGTTCCAAACCTGAACAACATCTGTCTGAATACCGTAGGGAGGTTAGATTCAGTTACTTACTCTTTCATGAACATTCTGTTGTGTTTAGTTCTTTTAAATCAATTTGAATGTTTGTATCAAAGCTGTCGGACGTGCTGCAGGAAGTGAGAGAGGAGGAGGAGCGAGAGCACCGGAGGAAGATGGAGCAGCTGAAGGAGGCGCATAGGAGAGAGATTGATGACATCAGAGAGAAATACAGGAACGAGGTAACTGGCACAATAACACAGGCTGTTTATACGGAAAAACAGCCACAAAGATGCATTAGCCAAAACAATATTAAACAAAAAGTTAACAAAAGCTGGTTTACTACTGGCAAATACTTTGTGCAATCCCTCAGATGTCCAGGTAGGATCCATGGCAAAGGAGAAACTCAATTCTGTCAACTGTACAAATGTTTTTTACTGCTAATTCTTATTGTTGGCATCTCCTTTGGTTTATTATTTGGCTAAAGGGAAAATGATGTGATAACCACAAATACTGAACTAGAATCATTTATAAGTGATCAGGTCTATAATCTCACAATACAACACCCACAATGTGCACAGCAAGACACTGATTTAAATGATCTGGTTATGTATTTGTGTTTTTTTTTCCTTTGGGCTATTGCTTATACTATACCAAAATACCATGTAGTCTGCACATGAATTCTAGCTCCTTTTTGTCTCATCTGAAAGTATGACATAAAATCGAATCTCCTCTTTCAGGAGAGCCTTGAGAGGGAACGTATGATGATCAGACTTAAAGACGAAATACACCAGTTGGACGCGTCTCATGGTCTTGAACTGGAGAAAATCAGAATACAGCACAATGTTCAGATCGAGAAAATACAATTGGAAAACGCACGCAAGGTAACACCAGCAGAAAGATATTTTTATTAATGAATATGTTGTGTGAATTAACCAAGTGAACAAAACTATTCTTATATTTACATTTATTTTTAGGAGAATGAACTTAGAGACTTGTCAGATGAGTTGGAGCTACGGACCGGCCGACTGCAGAGCCAGGAAGCTCTGCTGCAGTCCAAGGTAACAGCTGCAGTAGCTGTAGTAGTATTTTTCTACTTCACAACAGTGTAAGGTTTCTAAATGATTGTGCTGATTTTTCAGGAAGAAGATTTGAACAGAAGGAGGAAAAGTTTGGGAGTGGAGGAACAGGAAGTGGACAGACAGATAGAGGTAGAAACATAGTACTTATATCAACAACAATTATATGTTTTATTGTTGGAAGCTTATTTTTTAAACATATGTACAAAGTAGACGTCTTTCTTGCAAAGTACTTATTGTGTAAATGTAAAACTAAATGCCACAAAATATTCACATCATTCAAATTCACTTCTGTGTGGACCCGCAGTAGAATCCAAATCGCAATTTGAATGGACGCAATTAGCAAATCACAAAGTACGATCAATTACACACACAAAAAAATATCCTATCTTTCTGCATAAAAATAGTAACCTTGTAGTTTACTCTGTACAAACATGTCCTGAAATGTGATTCCTGTATTAGGT